TTGTTGTGAACATACCAATACCTTAAATCATTTGCCCAGTCCAATAATCATTTCTTTATGTATATATATAATGCCTAGTCGTACATCAGACCGACTATGGATCGCTTATTTTTGAAGTTATTTAGTAAAATCACGGGGATCCAAGATGCGCATCCACTTTTGTCACAACTCAGCGCTATTTGTGATGCGATATAGTAGGGACTTGGTATCGTCCCTATACTGCCAGGCGTTAGTTAGTTAGCGCTTTCAATCAAAGCGTTCAAGTCTCCCCTTGTCCCAATCATTGGTAAAGGTTCTTCCCGGGTAAACCATTATCACTAAACACGCTTTCATTGTTGTAGGCATACCAATACCTTAAATCATTTTCTCAGTGCAATAATAATTTCTTTATGTATATATGTAATGCCTGGTCGTACATCAGACCGACTATGAATCGTTTATTTTTTAAGTTATTTGGTAAAATCACAGGGGGTCCAAGATGCACATCCACTTTTGTCACAACTCAGCACTATTTGTGATGCGATATAGTAGGGATTTGGTATCGTCCCTATACTGCCAGGCGTTAGTGTGGAAGTCTAAGTGCCTTAGCCTTTCAATCAAAGCGTTCAAATCTCCCCTTGTCCCAATCATTGGTAAAGGTTCTTCCTCGGGTAAACCATTATCGCTAAACACGCTTTCATTGTTGTAGGCATACCAATACCTTAAATCATTTTCTCAGTGCAATAATCATTTCTATTACCCAACTGAGCAAGAAACAAAGAGATAAATAAAAACATTATTTTCTATGCCATTTTCAAAAACATTGTAAATGCTACAAAAAATATATTTGTGATGCGATATAGTAGGGATTTGCTATCGTCCCTGTGCTGCCAGGCATTAGTGTGGAAGTCTAAGTGCCTTAGCCTTTCAATCAAAGCGTTCAAGTCTCCCCTTGTAAACCATTATCGCTAAACACACTTTCGTTGTTGTGGGCATACCAATACCTTAAATCATTTGCTCAGTGCAATAATAATTTCTATTACCCAACTGAGCAAGAAAGGAAGAGATAAATAAAAAACTAGTGCTGTCAAGTTTCTAGATTTTGTTCTACTCGGTTAATTGCTTCACTACAGACTCGACTCGATTAACCATCAAACTCGGTTGTAATATTTGAAGATAGATTTTGTAAATTAAATAGGCTAATAAATAAGATGTCATCACACCCATGTGAAGCGACATCGAAAAATTATATCCTTTTTATTAAATCACAGTATTTATTTTATTAAATGTTATTAAAATAAGGGCAGTCATAAGCTAAAATAACTTGTAGTTCTTATTCAAAAATACAAGTTTGTCAACATTGTCAAGAAGTATGGAAGATAACTTTTTAGATACAATATTGCCAGTCTCAAAGGTTCTAGTTGCAGGTGCACCATATTATATAAAATTGTAGTTGTTATTCAAAAATACAAGTTTGTCAACATTTTCAGGTTGTATGGAAGATCGCTTTTTAGATACAATGTTGACAAAATGTACATCAACATATTTATTTATCTTCACATTGTCCTCTTCGTGGTCCAATTTAGTTGCTATGGCATATCTATTAAATCACTCTGGCCAATCTTCCGGTGTTGCAAAATTAAATGCAGTAGGAGGTGGAATCTGTCAGTTATGAAGTCCAAGATGTTCAGCATAGACTTTACTTAGAATTTCACATTAACATCCCACTTCTGACGCCATATCATATAATGTATAGAACAAAACAGTAGTTACAACTTGAAATTGTTCTGTATCTATAAATCGGATGTCGCACATGTATGTATCTGGTATAACTCCACAGTTACAATTTAGGTCTCACACTACTAAATGCATATAAATATTTGACACTTACTGTGCCCAATCTCCTTTCTTTTGGGCCTCCCACACAGGGGGCACTTCATGTATCTCTACTGCCATTTTCATGACCGTATCATGCATGATTCCTTTCTCACTTTTAGCAGATTCAACAATACTGTAGATTGGGTTAATTTGGCACCCGCTTTAATTTGGCGAATTTGGCGAAATTGAAAAATTCGCCAATATAAATCTTCGCCAAAATTTAAAATAAATCCCAAGGAATTATCTAGGGTATTTCGTCCAGTGTATTTAGGTAACTTTCGGTCTCCAAAAATATGAAAATATGTATCTCATAAATTGGCTCAGAACTGGTCAGTCACTCATTAATACTCAGGGAAAAACTAGAAGGAAAATTGCGGTATAGTAGCAGCATCGATTGAGGTGCAAAATGTAAAGGATGATCTTACAAAAATATACAAACGTGGTGAATATCGCCAGTGGTCCTCAAAATAAAAAATGAACATAGCCAAACATGCCCATTTACATGGTAATTCGCAAACAGTGCATAAGTAAGTTTTAATTTCTTTTTTTTGCATATCCGCCAAATTAAATAGCCGCCAATATGCCAAAAATGGCAAAATCGCCAAATTAAGTAGCGCCAAATTAACCCAATCTACAGTAGTCGGTTTCTTTTCCCTGGATAAAGTTCAATTTTTAGAAGAGAACAGCGTCTCAGAATGAGCTAACGCAAAGTACTTGATTCCATACTGTTAGTGGGACTTTGGAATATATTGCACTATATAACACCTAAAAATTAATACATTTTAGTGGATTTAATTTCAGAACCATTATTATTCTGTTTTGTCATGTTCAGGGTAAAATAAATAGAGCTATGAAAGAGCAACGTGTAATAAAATGCAGTTAATTCCATGTCTTTGACAGGTTCCCCTACTTGCAGAGGTAGCATTAAAATCTAAACTGTCACTGTCAAAAATTTATAAGTGCTACAAAAATAACTAAATAACTGTGGCTTCACAGACTACAGATCAGATGTGGGGTGAAGGCAGGTGTGTGAAGGGATAATGTAGGACTTTAGATGGGGTTCAGGTTGTGACTTCTCCTGGCGCTTCTTGTTGAGCCACATGTCATTCATGTAGTATTTCCTGGGTCATTCTTGCAGAATGCGAATTTCCCAAAATATGCCCAAACCCATTTCTTTTGGTTTTGGTCCTCCCACATAAGGATCACTCATTTGGTTCATTAGTCCTATTGTACTTCTTGGGAGGCTCTTCATCCACACCTGGTCTCTTTGGGTTGTACATCGTAGTGTATGGCACTTATGGTGATGGTGGTTGTGACATTAAGTTGTTTTTTAAGGTTATTTTATTTCCATATTTGAATCATATAAACATACAGTAATACATGAATATGGAGAAACAAGCCTACGTTTCCACATTATTGGCTTGTGAAAATACATTTTATACAGTGGATATTTACACAGACAATAGTAGTCATAATTTACATAAATGCAGTGTTCAGATGGGATGAAGATGGGTGATGATGTTATGAAATCTGGCAAGGTACAGAAGCTATGACACTGGTTTCACAATATTTTGTTAATAAAATCTGATGTTAGATTTATAAGTATAGTTCTTTATCGCCAAGTAAAATCATGTCAACCTTGTCATATTTACATTTACTGGAGAAAAGTTTGTGACATTAAGTTTAGTGATGAGTTCATGCTGTATTTAGTCGACCCAGACATTGTGCAAATTGTTGATTAATCACGAGTCATGTCATCTTGAGTTATATCACCATGTATTACATACCTAGCGAAGCATTTGTATGGAAGTCAATGGGAAAGTTAGCGAGCTATATCCACCGATATAGCCCGATTACCCTGATATAGCCCGCTTACCTCGTTTTGATATTAGATTTCTTTAATAACCATGATAATATCATGACGTCACGTCATTGATACAAAGTAACCATGGAAACAAAGGCATGTAATACATCAGTTATGTCACTATGACGTGAAATATGCCTTCGTTCTTGCCCAAATATAGAGCCTCCCAAGGTCGGCCTATATTGGGAGAACTCAGGCATATTTCACGTCATAGTGACATAACCTCTAAAAATATTATATGTAATTCCTCATAATTTTGCTGATGGTTGATAAATCCTGCTCAAATTCTCTTCCACGTGTCATTGGTTATTCAATTAACCTCAGCTAATTTCCACTTTCATTCAAATAATAAATTATAATATACAATCCCTCAAGTATCTTATATGCCCTTGTTTAATCCTAGTGAACTATTCTTCCTCCTGTCTACATGTATTAAATCAACCTCATATTGTTTCTACTTGCATGGGAATATATCACTTTTTATATATGTACCCCTGGCATAAATATTGCATGTAATTCCACATTGCATCTGTTCCATCATATTTCTGCTGTATGTTTTTGACATTCTGATCACTCATTCCATACATCCTGAAATAAGCAACATAATAAAGTTATTCCATCTTGTATCATCAAATCCTTGTGTAATAGTATGGTCATTGTGCAAGCCATCCTGTATCATTGATTATTATTGTTACATATGTTTTTCTATTTTTTAATCAGCGAATATATGTGTATATGAATCCTGGTGAAGTATTGTGGTAATTCCACATGCAATCTGTTTTTCCATCTATTCCCTGTGGCATCTGTTATTCCATCATATTCTATCTCTATGTTTTTGACATGCTGATTACTGATTCCATACATCCTGAAATAAGCAACAGAGAAAGTTCAGTGGTGACATTACTTGCTGTGGCAGGGTAGTCAATGGGAGATTAAAAATTTGGGTTCAAGATAAAAATTTCATTTCAAGAGATGTTCGATGTTATGATTTCTGAACACAAGATAAAGTATGGCTGACTTAGAACTGATTTATTATGCATAGAGTCTGACCTCATTTATGACGCAACATTAAAGCCTAATGTTTGTAGTATATAATTAACATTATAGGTCTTAGGTTGAGAACACTTCATATAATTTATATGGAATGTCCATCACATGTTTCACATATCAAAATGTATTTGTGTATTGTCAGTATACTTGTATACATAAAACTAGTATATCAATTGAATGAGAACAATCAATGTCAGCAATCTTAATCTTAATCAATGTCAGCAATCTTAATCTTAATCAATGTTAGCAATATCTGGCAGGCTTTTTAGCAACCATACCAGATCTTGAGCATGTCTGACTCTAGTTGGTAACAATTCCATTCCTGGTTGAGGCACATTCACCTCCTTTACCGGGTTAGATTGTTTACTGTGATCACCAATGTCAGGAGAAATATCAGAACTACTACTAGGACTGGCAACAGTAGGGGCAGGGATTTCCATGGGAAATGGAATAGGACTGAGATCGATTTTGAAAAGAATGGATTTGTTACCTACCCTGAGCTCTTTGAACCACCCTGGTACTTGATCATTGATATTTGTAATATCGGCCATATTGTCAATGTCAGCATAATCATTCAGCGGTGACGTCTGGTCACTCTGGCTGTAATCTGGAATGGGTGAAGCTTGTGAGTCATAATCATCTCAAGCTTGAGTGTGCACATGCGATTCTAAGATACGGTCTGGTCAACCTGGATCATTAGGATCATTAGGAATGATGACTTCTGACAAGAAAACATAGTCCTCTTGAGCATTTACGGACTCAGATTCGATCTAATGCTTATTCCGTGAGCTTTTACTGACAGGTTTCATAGTCCCTCCTTTTGTTTTACGGCAAGCTCTTTTGAAATGTCCCATGCCTTTGCAAGCTGAGCACTGTTTGCCTTGAACATTACATTGCCCATGAGAATGTCTACGAAGGCAATTTCCACATTCCTGAACATCATGTGAAGTTGACATTTTTTCTTGTGAAATTTTACTCACGGGTCTGCTTTCGTGGATTTTTTGCGGGCTTTTATAGTGTCAATGGGTTGAACAGTGTCGTGCAAAGCCTCACAAATCCTGGCCATCTTGATACACCTGTGTAGGGTTAATTTAGAGTAATCCATTAACTTGTTTTATTCTGCAATTCCAAATTCGACATCCCGTTAATGAATTGGTAATCATTCAATCTTGTGCTGTAAGTCCTGAGAATCTCTAGCACAGATGTAATGACCATAGTGGATGCACTATTTGGCAATTTGACAACCTGATACATCTCAAATTTAGTTGACCTGTCTGTAAACAGAATTTGTATTTGCAGTTTCAAAGCAACTCCTGTCAAAGTTGCAATGATGGGGGGGAACTTTGTAGAAATTACCAAGTTCCTTATGGGTGATAACTAATCCCGACTGGAAACATGATCCAATATGCTCTTCAAATCTTCTGGGGCATCCAGCGTTATTGGCAACCAATGCTCCAAAATGGATAGTTTAAGTATGTTGACTGAATATGTGTGGTCTCTGGCCAGTGAATTCCAATTGTGTAACTTCATATTTAGGTGAATCTTGATCTTTGTAGTCTTTGTTCAACTAAGTGGGCTGTGGGTGGTGGCTGTGCGTTATCCCCTTGTGCAATAGTGGGTGCAATGTTCTTCGGATGACTAGAGGGTAGGTCTACACTTTGTCTCAAAGGACCTTCAAAGTCTAGTCTACGTTTCATCATAGCAATGTTGAGGTCAGGATATACATATATGCCTTTGGCACTTTCCTTGGCTTTGCTGTCCATTTATCTGATGCAGCTGAATAAGCTCTAGAGTACCTGGAATTAAAAATGTAATAATTAAAACTTCACTATATCTACTGTATAACAGCATGCTTATGCTAAAGTGAATGTAACAAACGGAACTTTACTTCAGATCTTGAGCTGACAGTCTTTAGAATGAAAATTTGTGTTTATATTGTGGCTCTTACATTAAAAAACAAAACAATCATCTAGGTTAAAACTAATAAATATAATCTCAATAGACTAAATGCAAGTAAAATAATCATGATTTCTGTCACTAACATTTACAATTCAGTCAAATTAATGTCATATTTGGAATCTACATGTAAAATTACATTTAAAAGTTTAGTTTTGAAAAGAGTTTATCAAATTAAAATATACTATTCTTTGATAATGTAACTTCTAGGTCGGGGAGATTCCCCATAGACCCCACGTTGAAAAACCACAAAAAGTGAAATATCTCTTCTTGTATTGGGGAGATAATATTTTCCTTTACTGGGAATATATTAATTTGTATAACTATCAGATACTAAGGCTAATATGAAAATTGAAAAACTAGAACTGATGAATATTCGGGTTTAAGGGAACTTTGTAATATCCTGCCATGTTATTTTCCCCGAATTAGACACCTGATAACTATCTACCCGCATCTGAGTAATTGGTGCAGTATTTTTGGTAATGAGTTGCATTTTTATGTATAATATATTTTTAGCTCTGTTATCAATTTTATACCACTTACATTAATTTACCATCTTTATTTCTCAATGGTTCCCGATTGCGATGCATGTTGTGATCAATAACAGCCAGCTGACATCTTGCTTTGTACCCTTCATAGCTGTAGGCATGCCGCTTAGATGCATATGCCAAGATTACGCTGTTCACATTTTCCAAGGCACCAGTGTGTATGTGAATATGAAATTCATGTTATGTTCTATACTAGCTCAATATTCATAAGGCATAAAACTTTAAAATCAATTCAATAAATGGTTTCTCGACCATCTAAACTTATTGTCCTATTTGTATGCATACTCCAATTTATTTCAATGTTTAGATACTGTATAGAAAACACATGTATGTAGAAACATTGATAGCTGTGTTATACATACTGTTGGTATTATCTAGGTGTTGTTTTCTTGGAATGTCATCTAAATATTTATCCAAGTTTTGTCAAAATTTTGATTTTTTCAAGGTCAAATTTCAAGTTGCTTCAAATTGACCAATGGTTTTTTAAGATCATCAACAAGTTGCTTGGAGTTCATAAATGACCTTGTATTGAGGTTTGACCTTTGACTGAACTTCTAAAGGTTAAAAACGACTCCATAAGATTGCTTGCAATCTTGTTATCTAGTTATTTTAGGTTTCAAGTCTGTACTAAGCAATACAAAGTATGTCCTTAGTAGCAAGGATCTGAGTGAATGAATAGAATGCATACCATAATGAACTCATAATCTCCAAGCTCTTGCACTCTATTAGGATCAACCTCAACCAATTGAGGTGTTTTCTTCAGTATGTTTGGACTGAAATCTTGTTTCAGCAATAAATGCGATATCTGTCGATTGTATGTTAAAGTCATGTCTTACATCTTCAATGTGTTTTTTGAGGGATCTTGCATTTATATAGAATGCAGTTATAGATTTCTCATTTGAAATGTTTTCTAAATCTGTTACAGTTATTTTCATGGGGTTTTGCCTTAATCGTTCCATTTCTTGTTTCACTTCAACAGAACATTTTATGTTTGATGGGTCAAAATTGATGAGATGGAGTCCACTAAGGGAAGTGACTCTACTGCATGCTACATAATGTAGGTGTGGACCCCAAACATCCGACTTTTCCTTTCTAAAATCAGCTACTACAGATTTCATTGTGTCACCTTGTGACCTATGGAATGTTCTTGCTGTGGAGGGTCTTAGGGGAAATTGTTTACGGATTGCAGTTGTTGATCCCTTACTGCCAAAGTTAAAACGTCAACAAATTGGCTGGATGGGTGGAGTAAAACTGAGAAAAAAACATAAATTAAAAACCAACTATCGACAGAGTTGATTGATTAAATCTAAAATTTAACACAATGTTAATCATAGCACGGGGGAGATTATACAATCAAATATTTAAAAAAAACTTTATTTGTAAATTAATTTTTTAAGAAAATTAGAACCCTAAGTTGTAAAAATTAATCCATTAACTCTAACAAAGGATTAATAATCGTTGTAAACAAAACCACCTCACATTCAGCATATGCTGTCAATGTCTCCACTTCACAATTCGATGAACTTTCTCGTTTTATGCATTTGTCTGCAGAGGAATCAACCATGTAAAATGCTCCACATTTTATTTGAGCTTTAGGATCCCTGTACAACTTTGCTCGCCTCTGTTCATCCTTGTGGTTTCTCAAAATGATATCATGCTCATAACATACCTTCAACTTCTTGCCTTGATTCAGACATGCATTTTGAGTAAGCTCATCTACAAAGAAAATAAGAAACAGTGATGAATATTGCATTTAAAAAGTGTACTTAAAAAGAGCTCAAGATAACAATAAATATATAAGTGAATTTAACCAATTTCTTGATAGGATACTTGCATCTTTCTGGCACTGAGCATACAAATTGTTTCCAAACTTTTTGAGGGGAGTGTACCTTTATAATTGTTTCCAAACTTTTGGAGAGGAGTGTACTAGAATTGTTTCCAAAAGACTTCCTGTATTTTTAAGGTCAAATTTCAACTTGCTCTAAATTGACCAAACCTTTTTTTGAAAACCATCTACAAGTTATCAGGAGTTCAAATCTGACTTTAGTTTTGACCTTTGGTTGACCTTGGAAGAAACCAGGTAACCAACTTCATAACTTACTTAGTACTATACTTAGTTACTAACTTAGTAACTTACTTAGTCAATAACTACTTAGTGACTTGCTGACTTAGAAACTGACTTAATAACCATCTGTTGACCACATAAGGCCAAAACGCCTACGGGCCTCCATAAGATTGCTTGCAATCTTGCTTGCAATCTTGATCTCTAGTTATACCTGCTATTGTCCATCCTTTTTTATTGTCAAGTTTAACTAGCACCTTGTCACCTGTAGATAATTCTGTCAATGATTTAACTCCATGGTGAGTGTCATAGTGCACTAGGGTGACCTTTGCTCTCCTGATAGTCTTCAAGCCTAAAAAGAATATAATGCAACAGAATACTAAAATTAATTCCACTTCCTCTAGTACAGTGTACATCACTCATAAAAAGCTTTTTGATTAGGTACATATTTTTAGAATCATTCCAAATACATTATTATCAGAGATATATGTATTGAAGCTTAAGATGTTTGCATGGATTGCAGAATATGGTACCGGAGTTTCCTGAATTTGAAAGTATTACACTTATACACCCATGGGTAAAAGTAACACAAAAGATTACAAATAAAAAAAACTTCTTTCAGTTATACCCCCAGGCCGAATGTATGAGAAACTCCTGCAATTTAAAATTACAGTAATTTGAGGCTTAAGTTACCAAAATAATAAAGTTTTCATTCAGACTTACGTGACAACTTCCAATTCACCAGATCATCGTTTGTTATACACAATGAGTCGAGCCTGTACTAGTTCTACAGATCTGGCGAATGTATAAGGATCTATGTCTTCTGCATCCTTGCACTCCTGTAGCTGTAGCTGTAGATACTCTGTAAGCATTTTTATATCCTTTGGGTCTGATATTTCACTGACCATTTTGAGTTTTCTTTGTTCCAATACTGTTCTTGCCAATTTTGACACATTGTCTGAGTTCTGAAGTTCTAGCAGTTTCTCCAAGTCCAGTGTAGCACTTTGGCTCCCATGTAGTTTCTTTGTCGTTATTCCCATCCATTTAATCGTGACCAATCTGAAGATCGTATTGCAATTTAATTGCATTTGAGTGAGACCTCATCTCTTCAAAATCAGCAGATTCTGGGAATGCTGTTTCAAGAGCAGCTGCACATGTAGAGTCAAAATTTTCAGGACAAAGTAAATTAGCCATTGATGCGATCTGCTTTGTCTCTCAGCTCTATGAGAAATTGTGCTGCTAGCCGCATTTAAGAATTGGCGATACTATTTAGCATTTGTGTGTTATCAGAATTTCTTCTGAAAGAGTTTTCTCCCAGTGCTCCAATAATCTTGTCAGATTTTGCAACATCTGTTATCTGGTCTCTATGCATTCTGGGAATTACATATTTATGAATATAAGCGTAGTCATTTACATCGATCCGGTTGGCCATTAGATCAGATTCCATTATCCTTGTCCCGTTGATCTTTTTTTCTTTTTTAGGCCATCTGTGTGTGCTGATGGCATTTATTTTTATCCAGTCCAAACACTGTCCACATGGTCCATAGTCTGAGACTATGCAAAATAAGTTTTATTTATATGAGGGCAGAAAATGAGGTCTGCTAGGAATTAATCTGGAGGAAAAGGCAAAATGGGCCTCAAATGAAAAAATCAGTTAACACTTATAATAACAATAATGATAACATATAACTCATAATAAACAGATAAATACCAGGAATTAATAAAGTGTGGAGTAACAGGTACAATAACAGTAACTGTTACTTCAATACATTGTGATATTTTATAGATGGTGGTTACTGGCACAAAAATAGAAGTCTTAATAAGGTAGTTTCTATATAGCTACATAAAAAGATAGGAGCATTGTGTATTCAATTTTCGCTTGGGCCAGACTGCTATACATTACAATGTAAAAAATCAGAAAAAGTCACTTCATTCATGATTTATCAAACAGTCCTTGTGTGTTTATCACATTGGACAATATTGCCAAAACAAACACGACCTTGACTACGCGCTCGGCTGTGCTGGTGGCTACGATGGAGACTACTCCGACTGGATCTACGGCTACTGCTGCGCTGACTACTTCAGTGACTGCTACTTGACTGAGTATTGGTACACTGACACATACGACTATAGTGCCCTTTACGAGAACACTTGAAACAAATGACATATCTGCGTTAACTACAGATACTGATACGTCAAGCTGAGACTGTTCCTTAAGTGAAGATAATGTCTTATGAGAAAGTTCATGAGCCTGACATGCGGCAATACACGATTCTAATGTAAGTTTATCGTCTCTGAGAAGTCTACCCCTCAGGGTATCACTAATTAATCCACAAACTATTCTGTCCCTGATAAGGTCATTCTAGGCCATCAGCTTCACCCCAAAATTTAGGTTATCGATACCAAGTTAGGGGAATAAGCCTCATTGTGATTTTTGGCAAGGTAAATACCTCTAGAGTAAGAAATTATATGATAGCATTGCAGGAGTGGCAGCTAAATGGGTGTTATCACCCATTTTTCAAAATGGCCGCCGGTGCACTTACTACCAAATAAAAGAAGTTATATCTAAGCATACTGAGAGACAAAAACAGTGATTTTGAGGTCTATCTCAAGGTTTTAGGGGTCAAGGATTTCATTTAAGTCAAAATCTAAGTCATCAAAGAATTGGAAATCCAAGATGGCCGCCAAAATGGATGTCAAAACAAATATGTCACTATTGATATAAGTTCAAAAAGCTCAAAGAACGGTTAAAAAGTGACTTTTGAGACCATAAAAAGGTTTTAGAGGCTAGGGATTTTATTTGCCTCTAAATCTAAGTAATCAAAGAACTACTTTACATAGAAATTCAAAATGGCCACCAAAATGGATGTCAAAATGAATGTCAAAATGAATACGTAACTTTTTATGTAAACTCAAAAAACGGTTGCTTTTTCAAACCATGGTGAGATTTTCGAGGTTAAGGATTCTATTCATGTGTAAATTGAAGTGATTAAAGAATACCTTTTGTAGAAATCTAAAATGGCTGCAAAAAATGAATTTATAAGCACATAGAAAAATTAGAATAGTTATTTTAAAGATATCTGAGACTGGGTTTCAGGAGAAAATGGTTTCAATTTACTAAGCCTTTACTTAAGTTATCCTAACCTTTCCTCATATTAAAATCCACATTGGTCACCAACCTGGCTGCCAAAATAAATTACCACATTCACATGGAGCATGACTTAACCATCTAACCTATTTCCTTTATTGCCATTTTGAAGTTCACAGGCTGCAGACCTAGTTCTCTCAACATGATGTTCCGAGAAGAACAGAAGAGATTGGAAGCCTCTAACCCCTACATGCACTGGAAAGTGTCTCACCTTCCACCCTTTACACCTTACTTTGTCAATGAGGTCTTCATACTCGGCACTCTTCAGTCCAATTGTGTCCTCTGTGTAATTGTAGACTTGGATTGAGTTTGTCCTTTCTTTACAGACCTACGGCCCTCGGGCAGATATATTATATTGGCCTCGGGATAATCCCAATATCCTGAACCTCATACAGGATAATCTCTATGTACCAACTCCCTACATTGCTAAGGTCAATAGCTTTCATCCACTTTTCTAGTTCTCACAGATGCTGTTGTTGGGACCCATCAAAGTATTTTGTCTCATCATGGATAGTATGAAAATTGCACATTAGCTTCATTTGTTACCCTGCTCGCAGAATCTAGTTAAACTAGAGATGAAGCTCTCTTTTCTGAATGGGAGTCGAATGAATGCAAAGGATATTCCTTTGTATACCACTCAGTTGAAAAGATTCCTGGGATTGCACTACATACATCTCATCTTCTCCAAGAAGCTTAAAAACCGTTATGCTCCAGGGAATGACTAGGTCATAACATTAATGATGTCCATAAAGGCTCGGCAAGAAGGATGTCTTGTATTATTATTCCCTTTGAGACCTCCATATTAGGACTCTGCTGCATTCATAAACCAGTTCATTATTTTGATGAAGAGAGTACAGTTGAGATGGTACATCACATCAGGGCCATCTTTGATATCCAAATGAATATGTTCCAAAATTAATTATTCATTTTTGCAGCCATTTTGGTTGCCATCCTGAATATCCAAATAAAAGAATTATTTGATGACTTAAAGTTCTCAACCATTGAAACCTAGCCATTGACTTAAAATTCTCGACCATTGAAACCTAGACATGGTCTCTAAAATCACTTTGTAATTGTTCATTCAGCTTATATTAATGGTAACTTATTCATTTTGGCAGCCATCTTGGATTTCTACATCAAGTTATTCTTTGAAAACTAAGACAATAAAATCATTGATCCCCAAAACCCTTCCATGATCTACAAAACTACATTTTAGCTATTCTTACATTAATAGTTACATGTTCGTTTCGGCACCCATATTGGTGGCCATTTTGGTTTAGTATGAAAAGTAATTATTTGATTACTTAGACTTAAATGAAGCATAAGTGAAATCATTAACCTCTAAACCCTTTCATGATCTATAAAATTACTTTGTATCTGTTCTTTTAGCATGTATCAATACATGTACATGTAGTTACATATTCCTGGCACCTATTTTGGCGGCCATCTTGGATTTACATATAAGGTAATCCTTTGATGACATAGATTTAGACATGAATAAAATCCTTAGACTTGAAAACCTCTTCAAAATCACTTTGAAACGTTTTAGCTCGTATCATTAGTTACATATTTATTTTGAACCAAAATTGGTGGCCATCTTGGATTTTCATATGAATTTATGTTTTGATGACTTGGATTTAGGCATAAATCGAATTAGTGACCCTTAAAACCCAGAATTAGACACTAAAATTACTGATTTTGCCTCTTAGTATGCTTAGATATAACTTCTTTCATTTGGTAGCAAGCGCACCGGCGGCCATTTTGAAAAATGGGTGATAACACCCATTAAGCTGCCACTTCTGCAATGCTATCACATATTTTCTTACTCTAGGGGTGTACACCTTCCCAAAAATCACCATGGCCATTATTCCCCTGATTTGGTACCGACCAACCCCCCAGGCTGATCGCCTATTCCTCAAGTCTTTAAATTCACAGTCTTTTGATTTAATCTCACAATTCTGTACTATAATCATCAATAGATTGACCTTCCTTCTGGTTGGTTGAGATAAATCACATTTTTCCTGGGATTACAAAACTCCTCAAACTTACATATCACAAAGTTCAGAATACCACCAGTCCCATCTTCTTTCTCCTCTTTATCATCTTCAGGACACACAGGAAACGTATTATACAGTCTTATTGCGTCCTCACCTGCGATGTGTAACAATGAAGCTAAACGAACATCAGCTGATTTTGTAGATAGTCCAGTGGCAAGCGAAAAAATGTCAAATCGCTGCTTGAAAACTTTTCAGTTTTCGCTCAAATTTCCATCTAACGATAGTTCTGACGGGGTTTTTAACGAGTGTTCCATAATCACTAGAGTTCCTGTCCATCTGACACCATATATGCTTTTAATGTACAACTCCAATACTCATAAATAATAACTAAAGATCCAAGATACAATTTACATGACTTTATTGAACAGAAGTAATGGCCTTGTGCGCCTTTTAACAGTATGCGCCTTAAGGTAGGCAGATCAGATACTAGAACATCACGCACATACACAATGAAGTGGTATAATTTCCTGCCAGTGGCAAACATTTGACCTTGAACTTGGTCATAGTACCCACTTGTTTTTTCAAAGAGAGTTTCCCATCCTTCCTTTCGAGCCAAGGAAAATTAATATCATCAGTAATAAAGCTATCCTTGCCTTTAAAAGGACACTTTACTTCACAGATAGCATTTTCCCTTACAAATCCATCAGGGGATGCAGCCAGAAAAGGTTTCTCCAAGTGAATTACTAATCCACTGGGTTCAACCCTTTTCCCTGTTATCTCCTCAAACTTAATCTTAGCAAAGCCTTCAAAAGCAACACCATGGGAAGTTGCACTTGATTTAAATGCCTTTGGACTAACTATGGAAGCACATAACTTGTCTTTGTCCCTTTTATCTGTCATTTTGTTTATCTCTCCAAATCTGCTAGCTGTAAGGCGCCACCTCCGCTGCTCATGCCATTCAGTGGATTCATTTTGCTTCCTAGTTCTCTTCTCAATGGCAGCAATGTCCTCAGCAGTCACCTGGAAATAATAATAATAATAAAGGTGTTACAAAAATTGCATGTAAGATAATTTTGTTGGCCCTTTAGTATAAATCTATTATATAGACTTATTGAGAGATTTTGACTTATTCATTTCTGTCAAAATCTATCAATAAGTCTACATTAATAGATTTATACTACACACAAGTAATATTTTCATTCTGGTCATAATATTCCAATCTAAAAATACAATAAAAATATTCGAAGGTACATAGTAGAGACATATAAAATGTGCAGTATGTGCAGTTTTTCCACACCATAAACTGTGGGCTAGGTAAATCCCCGGGTAACTCTCATCTGAAAGAAATGAGGTGAACAGGTATGGCCATTTTTCATCATAACCATCCCCTGTGGAGTAGAATATGCTCTTGGAGCACATGTACTAGGTTTAGATATTAGTTTATGAAATATAGGAGTAAATAAGAACATACCTTTTTAGCGTTTACATAGTCTAGGAGTTAAAGACAAATTGGCCTTATCTGTAAATTCTCCAAAAATATTCATAAAATAAGCCGTCTCGGCAAATAGGAGACATATTTAAGCATAAATTCATATTTTTTGAAATCATACCTTTGTATTAGTACTTCCTTTCGGCCTTGTGTGTGAGCACCGCTTTTTTTTGTAATTCTAATTTCAGCTTATTCAGCGAAAATTTACCGTAGCTGTTCATTTTCACAATAATTGTTTAGCGTATCCAAGAGACCGATCGTGGGCGATAATAGAGTAATACGCCATCTATCGGCAAAATATGACGTTTTAATCCATTTAGCATACATTTTTTGCTAAATTGATCGCTAAACCAATATATACAGATTTGTAAACTTCTTTTTACCTGCAGCTACAGATGGATCTAAAGAACTAATTGTTAAATGATAAAAGTTGTACAGTGCGTATCAAAAACAACAGATTGTTATCTCTGAAAAGCACAAATCCAGTGATAACAACAAATAGCCTGCTATGCAAATCATTTAATGTCAAGAGAGACAATCTTTTGAAGACTGCACAAGAGACAACCTGATTTCCTGTTAGAAAATATGCTCCCAGCCCATTCAAGCTTTGCAATAGCCTGCTATGCAAAGAAAGCTATAATTTAAGAGTGAAAACAAAGTCCTTGATTTCGTAAAGGACGGACGCCTGGTCGATCCCATAGGCTCACTGTGTGAGCCAAAAAGGACTTCCTAGTCAAATATCTAGATTATGAATATGATGATAGACTTTAAATTATGATGATTTCTACTGTTCTGAGGACCTGTATCATTTGTCTACTTTCAGTGAACCATGTGAGGTGGAGTGGCGATACACAGAGGACGGAGAAAAGGTACGAGTATCAACAAAAAGTGGACGTGTCATACCCATGCCTCTCGAGGCATCTGAAACACCAGAGGGGGTGAAGCCCTCTACTTATACAGGTAAGATAGTAATGTAGATTTATATTTCTAAGAAATAAGATTGCATCACTGGTGCTTTTGTTATACCAGCAGTTGATAGGGAAATTATTTGTTATTTTGTGTATCATAAGACATTACTTCAGCCTTCAGCCATGCATAAAAGATTAGAAAAAGGCCAGATTTACTTGAGATTTCTTCTTGCTGCTCCATTTGCTATTTAGTATTATTTAGTATGGATAATAGTACAACAATAACGTCATTTTTGCGGGCAATATATATGGCCTTCGATCCAATATTTCACTTTATTATATACCCAATATGTAACACTAATCCTGATTGGTCAATACCTAGTCACGTGTTCCAAAATAGATTTACTATTTCCCTCGGAAAGTTATATTCCCTCAAATGTGACGTCAGCGGGAATATACATTTGAACTATTGCCCGCTGACGTCACGATTGCAACTTCTATTACCCTTGGAAACGTCTGCGCATCATCACTGCGCAGACGAAAAACAGAAAAATGGAGGATGAGCACAAACACAAATCAACTCCGTTCACCATGACAGACGTGCGTGAACGATACAGTATAAGCAACGTGTATAAAGTTCCCTAAGCTCAATACGTCTGTGTAATTTCAAGTGTTATGATAATCTATTCCGCGTGTTAAACGCGATTGAATTTGTCAAGTGAGAGTCTCAGTCGCAAAAATTTCTGTAGAGCATCTGATGACGTCACAGCTTATAATGCTAACAATGAACCCGGGAAGGGGGCTTTCTAACTTTTTGGCCTTCGCAGAGGAAACGGGACAAGAGTCAGTATAGGGTATATAATAAAACAAATAGTGACTGCCTAATTTCGAGCAATAGTGTTAATTATTTCCCCGAGGGAATATCCTCTACAATGTACTATTCCCGAAGCCGCAGGTGAAATGAATGCCTTCTAAACTAGCACTAAAACCCCTAGAACTGGCCCGGCAAGGTGGTAATAATTTAAATAAATTAGTGATTCATTCCATGTTTGTTGCTGCTTGCCTTAAACCAAGACAAAAGGTTGAGGTTTAAAGCAAGCACACAAAAAACCTCCCTCAAAAACAATTTTATGAATCAAGATCCAGTAGTTTCCAATGTTTCCAGATGTATTGTACTGTCTATATGTATTGTACTGTTAATGTTGCCATATGTATGTACTGTCATGTTTCCATATGTATTGTACTGTCAATGTTTCCATATGTATTATACTGTCAATGTTTCCATATGTATTATACTGTCAATGTTTCCATATTTATCGTATGATCTGTAAAATGAAGCCTTCTTATTGTCAGTTCTTGTGCTGTACCAATCTGTATTGCTACTGAGATTTTCCTCATATAGAGAGGTTTCCTCATATATTGTCCTATCTGCTGTTATTAATTAATGTTTAATATGATCATATTTTCCAGATGGCACGAAAGACACAACATCCAGTGATGCACAGGAAATAACTTTTGAACCAAAACTTAAGACATTTGAACAAGACATTATGGACACCATGGGAATTGTGGAAACTCGGAAAAGACAAAAGACGTATTGGTATTAATACTTTGTCTAGGAGTCTTAAAATAGGAAATATAAAGAAAATAATGAATTTGAATGTGACTTTGATATAATGGGAATTGCATTGGAAATTACAATAAAATATTTGAAAATAATCATGAAGAGGACAGGACAAAATTGAATTATCATTCTTGAAAAGTTGTATACCGACTGTTTCAAGATCTTACAGATAGTCTACCATTTAGTTTCATAGTGTGTTAAATTAAAACACAAGTACAAGTGAAACATTTTAAGTGGAACACCTCTAGAAGTGCAATACCTCTAGAAGTGCAACACCTCTGCTGGTTGAACACTTCAGTCCCAAGACCTACTGACATAATCCAAACTGAACCTCTATAAGTGGAACACCTCTCAAGTGGAACACTTTAAGAGGTACCAAATGTGTTCCACATAGTACAATTTTACTGTAATATCAAATACACTGTGCTTTAACAAGAAAATAAAATAAACCCCGATGTAAAAAAATTAAATATTGTTTCTTGTTGATAAATATTTAGGAGGTTTGAATTTTTACTATTATTCAGATTTATGGTGTCATAGCTAGGGTATTGATCTGATTTCTGATGTCATAGCTATAATATATTGATTAGATTTATAATGCCATAGCTTCGGCTGTTATGGTCAGATTTGTAACGTCATCAGTTAGGACATATTGGTCAGATTAATGTCTTAGCTCTATAATATATAGTTCAGATTAATAATATCATAGCTAGGATATATTAGTCAGATTTGTGATGTCATAGCTTGGGTATATTGGTCAGATTTATGATGTCATAGCTAGAATAAATTGGTCAGATTTATGATATCATAGCTAGAATACATTGGTCAGTTTTATGATGGTCAGATTTATGATGTCATAGCTAGAATATATTGGTCAGATTTATGATGTCATAGCTAGAATACATTGGTCAAATTTATGATGTCATAGCTTGGGTATATTGGTCAGATTTATGATGTCATAGCTAGAATATATTGGTCAGATTTATGATGTCATAGCTAGAATACATTGGTCAAATTTATGATGTCATAGCTTAGGTATATTGGTCAGATTTATGATGTCATAGCTAGAATATATTGGTCAGATTTATGATGTCATAGCTAGAATACATTGGTCAAATTTATGATGCCATAGCTTGGGTATATTGGTCAGATTTATGTCATAGCTAGAATATATTGTTCAGATTTATGATGTCATAGCTTGGGTATATTGGTCAGATTTATGATGTCATAGCTAGAATACATTGGTCAGATTTGTGATGTCATAGCTTGGGTATATTGGTCAGATTTATGATGTCATAGCTAGAATGTATTGGTCAGATTTATGATGTCATCGCTAGAATACATTGGTCAGATTTGTGATATCATAGCTAGAATACATTGGTCAGATTTATGATGTCATAGCTTGGGTATATTGGTCAGATTTATGATGTTATAGCTAGAATATATTGGTCAGATTTATGATGTCATAGCTAGAATACATTGGTCAAATTTATGATGTCATAGCTTGGGTATATTGGTCAGATTTATGATGTCATAGCTAGAATATATTGGTCAGATTTATGATGTCATAGCTAGAATACATTGGTCAAATTTATGATGTCATAGCTTGGGTATATTGGTCAGATTTATGATGTCATAGCTTGGGTATATTGGTCAGATTTATGATGTCATAGCTAGAATATATTGTTCAGATTTATGATGTCATAGCTTGGGTATATTGGTCAGATTTATGATATCATAGCTAGAATATATTGTTCAGATTTATGATGTCATAGCTTGGGTATATTGGTCAGATTTATGATGTCATAGCCAGAATATATTGGTCAGATTTATGATGTCATAGCTAGGGTATTGATCTGATTTATGCCATAGGAAGGATATATTGGTCTGAACTTATATTATATACACCCTAAGCTCTGAAACCTTTTAAATTA